GCCTCCTTCCTGACAGACACCGGCTGCATCACCATCTGCCAGTACATCCTGTTAGACCCCATCCTCCTGTTCTTCATCATGGCAGCAGTGCTGAGTATGGTCAAGTTCAACCAGCAGAGGTACAGGTAGGACATCGCTAAGCCCTGTATGTGGCTTTTCTTTCTGTTTTGTCTTGTCTGCCATTTAGACGTTAAGCTGATTGATTCATTAGCTGCTCAGGAGTAAATAAAGGCTCACACATTTGATGATCAGCTGATACTTTCAATCAGTTAATGAGTTATCAGTTGAGTTTTCAGGTGAACGTGCTGCACTACTTTGCTTTACTATCTTTGCATTTTACATTGATACTGATCCTTTTTAATTTGTGGATTTAAGGCCCCACTTTGGGCTCTAGTACCGTGATGTAAAATGTATTTACCCAATTACTGAATAATTGCTGGGGAATAAATGCTGATGAATCAGTTTGCTTTAGCTGTTTTCTGATAATGTTTAACAGGTGGCACACACGCACAGCCTTTAGTATAGTTCTTTTTCTGCCAGTGGGTTTTATGAAGCAGTGAATAAACATTTCATTGTTCCTGCTGTTTTCAGGCCCTTCTCTGCCTCCTGGTGGTTGTGGCTGGTACTGACCGGTGTCAGCCTGGCGGGGGCTTTGGGAGTGAAGTTTGTGGGTCTGTTTGTCATCTTGCTGGTTGGGCTGAACACAGTCTGGGACCTCTGGAGACTTCTGGGAGACCTGAGCCTCTCACTGGTGAACAGCAGCCTCTTTACGACTTTACTAATAGTGTTGATGAGCAAAGTTTGAGGTTCGACCGTCCTTCTCATCTTCTTTTCCGGCAGGTGGACTTTGCCAAGCACTTCCTGGCTCGAGTTGTCGGACTCATCGTCCTTCCGCTCTTCCTCTATGTTACAATATTTGCCGTGCACTTTGTTGTGTTGAACAAAAGGTAGGTGTGATTGTTTAATGCAGCGTGATCACCACTTAGCGTATTATCTGAATGGTCACGACTGTTTTCTCTCTCCAGTGGACCCGGAGACGGTTTCTTCAGTTCTGCCTTCCAGTCCCGCTTAATGGGGAACAACCTCCACAACGCATCCATGCCTGAGTGTGAGTCGCACATACATCTCTGAATAAGACCGAATGTTGCTGCAGCTGTGTTTACTGAAACATTTATAAGAACGTGGAAATGAGGTTACAGATAAATGCAGACATTGCTGAAGTACGACAGCCAGATGGCCTGAAACGTTTGCTTACATTATGCTGTCCTGACAACGTAACATGTCGGGGTTTTATTGTTGATGTTGTTGCTGCATATTTGTCAGGTGTGAGGGCTCCGTGTTACTTTTAACAACATTTTAAAACACATTTTTTGGTACGTGTACTTGTTTTACATGGTTTAACGATGTGATTCTCCTGTTCTCTTGTTTCTGCTGCAGACCTGGCTTATGGCTCCACCATTACAGTGAAAAACCTCCGGATTGCTGGAGGCTATTTACACTCTCACTGGCACTTATACCCAGAAGGAGTGGGAGCACGGCAGCAGCAGGTCAGATGACGGGTTGAACTGTTGGTGTTGTATATAGCTGGATCTGTGCTATTCTGTTTTTCACTCTGAATAAACATTTTTCTCTGATTTGTGCTCACAGGTTACAGCCTACCTCCATAAAGACTACAACAACTTATGGCTGGTTCACAGACAAGATGATAACAACTGTGAGAAAAGGAAAATTTGGCTTTTTCAAAATCCAGATAAAATCAAGCGTCGTCATTTTATTGTTTATCTCTGTTGTTTGTCTTTTAGCTCAATCCGGGACGCCTGATCTGGTTCGTCATGGTGACGTCATCCGATTGGAGCATAAAGAGTACGACTCATGAGAGCACAGTCTTATTTCAATTTTATAGTTCATTTATATTATGAAATCTAAAAACATTGTGTCCTTTCAGAACAACCCGTAACCTTCACAGTCACCTCCATGAGGCTCCTGTGACCAAGAAACACTTCCAGGTTACAGGCTACGGCATCGTGAGTACACCTATAAGAGATCCATCCATCATCTATACACCACTTAATCCTCACTGGGGTCATGGGGGGCTGGAGTCTATCCCAGCTGACTTAGGGTGAAGGCAGGGGCCACCCAACACACAACATATAGTCTGATCGCACTAATTTTATAATTGTTCAGAATTATTCACAGCTGGATGACACTAACAGAGGTGTCATATTTCAATCACTGTTTACATTTTCACTGTTTCCGACCCGTTATCTGCTGCACTAACTGTTTATTTCGAGGCACAACTTCTAATATTCATCCTACTGGATTTCGATGAGCATCTTTTGGCATCAACCTCATGAATTCAGTTGCAAAGTCAAACACCAGAGCACCACTGTGGGCTCATTTAGGTTTTAAGCAAAACGAAAAGGGGAGAGGAAAGGTTTTTCTCTGCTCATTTGCATAAAGTTGAGGTCGAGGCTACTTTATGCAAATGAGGTGCGGGCGGGTAACAGATAATTGCCTGTTGCTTGAAATGCACTCGTTAAAAGCAAGCTGTTGAATTTGCACCAAAAAGGTGGTTGTCAAAGGCACAGATGTCACTGATCTAAAACTAATAGCAGCATATAATAAAGAGAAAAAAGTAAATTGTTTATCACAGTTATGTCTATGACAGTATGACAGTTAACCACCAACTGGGGATGTGACAGTTTGTCTTCTGTTACAGTTGCTTTATTTTGGATGCTTACTGTCTTATTCTGATTGCCTGTTGTTATGTGTTTATTTGTCCCTGATGTTCAAATGACCTGTTGGTAGAATGGCTCGGGGGACACCAACGACCTGTGGCAGGTGGAGGTGTGTGGAGGTCGGAAAGGCGACCTGGTGAAAGTGCTGCGAAGCAAAGTTCGTTTTCTGCACCGAGCGACCGGATGTGTGCTTTACTCCTCTGGAAAGACTCTCCCAAAGTGGTAACACTAACATCTTACCAGGACTTTCTTTTGTTTTTGTTGCTAATGCTGTGTATGGATAGTCAAATTGCACTCCAACTTCTGTCTGTGTTCAGGGGCTGGGAGCAGGTCGAGGTGACCTGTAGTCCCTACTTGAAGGAGACTCCAAGCTCTCAGTGGAACATCGAGGATCATATCAATCCCAAATGTAAGACGAACACATTCACTGCTCCCCCGTCTTTCCCTCTTCATGTTGAACATTTACTAACGTGTTATATTTCCTTCTGTGTGTTCTGCCAGTGCCCAACATTAGTCTCTCTGTGCTGAAGCCCCATTTTCTGGAAATCTTACTGGAGTCCCACATTGTGATGCTAAGAGTAAGTGAGATAATAATCATCTGGGCTCAATCATCTGCCCTAAAAACACGTGTGCTGTTAACATCTGCTTACTGAGGCTCTGTGTCTTTTTAGGGTAATAGTGGCTTGAAACCCAAAGACAATGAGATGAACTCCAAGCCTTGGCACTGGCCCATCAACTACCAGGTGCATTGATCCATCCATGGTATAAACTTCATTCATGTAGAACTCCAACTGAATGCTTTTAATCACAAATGCTGCTGGTTTGTTTGTGTGAAGGGCCTGAGGTTTTCAGGAGTGAATGAAACAGAATATCGTGTTTACCTGCTGGGAAACCCTGTAAGTCTTTCACTCTTGCTTCATTTTTTTTAATTTCCACTTCTTCCATGATTAAAACACACTAACACCCTGGTGGTTAAATACTCTTTCTTCTTCCAGGTGGTTTGGTGGATGAATCTGGCCAGTTTGGGTTTGTATCTCATCATGGTGGCGGTGGCGTCCATCACCATCCAAAGAGGTTTCTCACTGGGCATAAAAAGAATAGGTATGATTATCGACAGGAACGTGTGATCATTAATCAGCAGAAGTGAAACGACGACTTTAACTAAGTGTCATGTATGCTGCTCTGTTTCAGAGCAATCCCGTGTGCTCATGAGAGGAGGAGGACTGCTGCTGCTTGGTTGGCTGCTTCACTACGCACCTTTCTACACAATGGGCCGAGTCCTCTACTATCATCACTACTTCCCCGCAATGCTCTTTAGCAGCATGCTAACAGGTACCGCATCCCACTGCATGGAGCCTGCTTCTATTATACAGAGCAGCAGTTTTCATTTTCGTACTGCATGTGGTAAAAAAAGCAATAATAAGCACAGTCGTGACTCAATAATCTGACCCTTAACAATCCTAAACCTTGCTATCCAACAGGTTTTTAGGAAAAACGAACGGAACCCATAGAAAACAGCCTTGAAATACCGACAGCCTTGGATTCTGACTCCGACAGAAATCCAATCAGGATAACGCCGTATTATCTGACTGAACAATTCCACAGATTGGCTACGTTCAGACTGCAGGACTTAATGCTCAATTCAATTTTTTTGTGAAATCCAATTTTTTTTTTAACTGGCATCAGCAGCCAAGTACTGCCTGTGTGTTCTGGACACTTCCACCCCGTCTGAACGCTCCCCCGGGGTGGAAGTGTCCTCTGACCGTGGCGAATATTCGGATATTCAATATTAATTGGGCCTGAACATCCAGAGAGCAGAAAGTGCTATTGGGACCAGCCCTACTAGTTATTATAACAACTATGAACAATAAATATTAACAACTAATGAGCCTTCCAGCATCAAGCCCTCCTTGTATCTCGACCTTCGTCTTGACAATCCGACAGCCTTGATATCTGACATTTAGTGTCGGATCATCGAGTCCCGACTATACACATATTTTTGTCCTCCAACAGGGCAGGTTGTAGCTGACACAGTACTTCATTTTTACTTCCCCCAAAGCACCATGGGAGTAGATTCCAACATCTACAAAGACAAGGAATATTATTAGAAGTAACAAATCCATGAATATTGACTTTTTTTTATGTTGCACTACCAGCTAATGTTTTGTATTGGTGTAGACAGAGCTGCTGGGGGGGACACAGTGATCTCAAGCCCCTTTCACACAGAATAACAAGGCAGATTACAGGTTGTGCACTGAAGAGGCTGTCTGTGAAAGAGGTTTCACTTTTGTCTGATGGGAGCCCACAGTGTCAGACTTTGATACAGTTAAATTAGTAATGTTGTTTCTGGTTTTGTTTGTTTGTCACAGGAATCACGTTGGACCTCCTGTTGAACAGTACTGACCTCCTACTCCAACCACCGTATTGTGACTGGCTGCAGAGAGTCATGCAGATGCTATTTCTGTTTAGTGTTCTTTACAGGTGAGCTGACTGGCAGGAATACTGTTTCATTCTTACACTGAACAATAAATCATGAGTGTGTGATTTCTGCTGCATTTTAACACAAGAATAAAAAGCGTTTCCTTTACGTTGTGTAAATGACTGCAATCCATTTTCTCTCCACCAGTTTCTACCTGTTCCATCCACTGTCCTATGGCATGACGGGTCCTCTGGCACACGAGCCGGGCAGCGCCATGGCGGGCCTGAAGTGGATGGACTCCTGGGAGTTCTAGTCAGCTGAAGATGACACTGATGATGTCATGTAGAGCAACTGTTCTTAATATAAGGGACTTGAGATGTGTGGACTTGAAGTGTTTGAACAATTTCCACAAGGTACTGTCTCAGTGTTTGTGTGCCGGCGTTTTCACATGTTGTAGTCTGTCATGTATAAAGAATGCTTGATAAGACAGGACCTGAATCAAAGTGTTGTGAAGCGTACGAGAAAAAAAAAAAAAAAAGAAAGCTCTAGACTTTAACTATCGCCGGGCTGCCTTAACTCACAACACAACTTCCTTCCTGGACTTAGTGTGTACTGTATTTCACAATAATAAGCTAAAGTGCCTGAAATGAACTGGAGAAAGAAAATGTGGAGAAATGCTGCATGTCACTTATTGTGAATTAAAAAAACAAAAATCTCTCATGTAGTCACAAGCTATCAGAGACGGTATTTTCATTAGCGATTGTCCTGATCCTAGTGATGGTATTTTAGTATTGTACGTAGCCATTAGTGCTGTCCGGTAATGGCGTCCGTTTTTACACTACACAATGGTTACTGACTCTGTGTTTACATTTCAGTGTGATCAATAAACAATAATATTCTTGTATCCTGTGCTTGCTTGTGCTCATGTAATCACTATCTCATTTATTTTAGTTTTAGTTTACAATACACTTACATATAGTATATCTTGGCTATTATTAGTAGCACTGTTTTCAATCCAGCCCTTACTTAGCCATGAGAGTGTTGTGGATTTCTAATAATCTTGGCTACCACACTCCCTGAATTATTCTAATAGCAAATAATCATCAGGCATTTGAGGAAAGGTAAAAATGGAGTCGTGAGCTTCAGCCCACATGTAGGTTTATTGTACACCACAAAGAGTAGCCTTCAACAAACCCAGAAAGCATCACCTTACGTAAGATTCTTTCTCTTGTTTAGCGTGTGTGACTACCACCTGACTCTCCCCTGAGTCTTCACAGGCTTTTATTTATATTCAAAGCCCTTATAATCTTTCTTTTCAGTACGTCTTGTGATTTGAACACCGAGGCTGGCAGAATGGCTCCTAGCAATGATGCACACACAGAACATCAAAGCTTCTTTTCAGACTTCATATACTGACCATCTGTTACATGAGCTGAAATCTAACTGACTCGTATGGCTTTTTCTTATGCGCATTTCTCATCAGTTCAGTTTATTAGTATGCTTTTCATTCTCCTCTAAATATTTTACCATCATCCTATTTTAGCTTCTGTGATTGTACATTTATCTATCTATCTATTAAATATATATAAACACATAGTTAACATGGCCTGCTTGTACATATAATTTCCAAGAAGGGTCCAACTAAGATTAACTTTCTGTTTACAATATTGTTTTAGCAAAGAAAGGTGACAATGATAATGCATTTAACATAAATAACATAAGACAAAAGGCTTTTAGTGATGCTACTTTTAAAAAATCTACAAGACATACAAAATATTTAGTCTAAGAAACATGTCAAATGGCAGGTTTTTGTAGCCCAACAGCCATCAGTTGTGATTAATTTGTAATTTATTTGTTGTCCAGGGATATAATTCCATGTAAATATAAGAACTTTAAGTATCAGGTTTCTATTACTCCTAATTATTTCTGAAAATCTGGTACTACATCATTAAAAAATAACAAATTTATATATACCTATGCGCAATTTTATTATTTTTAAAATTTTATTTTAATTGTTAGAAGATAAGACTATATGATAGATTGCACCTATAATAACTTTTTCATGTGGCTAATAGAGGATGGCTCTGACTGAAAACATGCTGAAGTTCTAATAACACAGAACCCATTCACCCAGAACCGTCCGGTACTGATAGTCCACGATGTGTTTTTAAACCTCTGGCTCACCTTGGTGCCGGTTCCTCGCTCCGGCCGCCACAGCGCGCCTCCTGCCGGCGGCTCCGTGAACTACACCCACATACGTCATCTGTAAGTGCGGCCGTTGCCATTGGCTGTCGTTGGTCACGTGTTTCTTCTGAAGATGGCGTCTCCTAATGGAGGTAAATTCTAATTCCTTACCCTGCTACGCTGTGTATAAACTGTAAATTAGACATTTGTGAGCTCACTAAACCGTTAACGACCGCTCGGTATCTACGTCGAACACGTAGAAGCGACAGAATACGCGTGTTGGCGCTGTATTTTGGCTGTTTGGAGGTGTTTTTTCCGTTGTCTGAAGCCTCCACCAGCCCCAGTGTTTGTGTGTGTTCAGAGAGGCAGAGCTGCTGGTCTACTTACAACCTAAACCACGTCTGTTATTTGTGCAACGGCTAAAGTGCTTTTGTGTCGTCGTTGTTTAATGACGTTACTGGTGGAATCTTCCAGTTTTTTCTACAACTGCCTGAACTCGAGCTGTATCACTGTGTGGTCTGAGTAAAGCTCTCCTACTGTCTGCTGTGTACCGGGTGTCCTCTTTGTTTGGGTCATTGGTCCAGTCTGATGCCACGGTTCTGTCATAAAGTCTGCTTTAAAGACGCCTATAACTAATGATAGAAGTCATAGAGGGTTGAATTCAAACGTATGTCTTTGCTGTTGTTGTACCTCTCAGTGTAATCCAGTCCAATGCATCACCACCTTTTACCACCTCAGTGCTAAACCTAGACTTCAGTTGTAATAAATAGCAAATAATGTGGCCACTAAGTACATATGCCAGGAGACTTACCCATTTATATTCAATAAACATATATGAAGACATATTTCTAGATTTACAGGTTGCTGCTGCTCTACATAAAGGCTGTGTACTCT